CGTGATGTCCATGTTGAGGGCTCAGCTCCACAGGTGGTTGTGCGGTGACTTGCAGGGTGTGAAGGCATGGCCTTTGTGGGGAGTGCCCGATCCCACACCCTTCTCCCCCTCCCCGCAGATGGTGCTGCTGTGGAGCACGGAGCTCTTCCCCTCCCCAGAGGACTGGCAGGACCTGGAGGGCTCCGTCTACAGGCTCTTGGTCATCCTCCTCCGCTGCCTGGCCACCCAGCACCTGCCCCACTTCCTGCACCCAGAGGAGAACCTCTTCCAAGGAGAGTCCCCAGACCTCACCTCCCTCTACTGTAAAGTGGAGAGCTTTGCCCGAGACCCCCGACGCTTCCTTCGCTTCCATTTTGGCCTCCCTGTGCGCTCTGACAGCTGGCAGGCAGACCCTGGCACCCGAGCCCTGCTGCAGCTCCCTGATGAGGACGGGTCCTACTGGGACACAGCCTACTTTGACATCCTGCTCAACCAGGTAACAGGGACCGGAGACCCTAGGCTGCTCTCGTGCGGCAGCACCAGAAACCGCCTGGGCTGGGCAGCTTAGGATGCGCTGGCATTTGCCCCCCAGAGCCTTCTGGCCCCTGGCAGCCGCTGGCATGCGCTCCCCAACCCTGCTGAGGAGGCTGTGGGAGGCTGCGATGCTGAGGCATTGGGCTCAAACAGAGCGGGGAGCTCTCTCCCCTCACTCCCCACCTGCCTCCGCTTAGTTCCAGGTGTACCAGATTGAGGACGGCTCACGCCACTCAGCGATGTCCCAGCTCCTCTCCAAGATCCGGCGAGAAATCCCCCAACAGAGCTGAGCGGGACCCCGCTGCCGCCCCATTTGGGTGTCTTAAAACTCTGGGAGATGTAAGGCGAGCTACGGGACCAGGGACCAGCATACTGCCATGTTGCTTTATTGAGGAAAGATGGTATGGGGAGCGAGCGCACGTCTGCTGCAGCTGGGTGGGGATGCATGGCCTCTCAGCTCCCCTGGTAGAGCTGGGCGCCAAAGCAGGTGTTTCATCCCACAATACCTAACCTGGGGGCGATGGACGGCATCCTGCCCTGCTGGGCTCTGATGCAGGGATGGCCAAGGGTGATGGTGGTGGGAGGGGAAGGGACCTGTGGTTGAATCCCGCATCCAGCCCTCCTGTCAGCTTGCAGTGGGGCTGCCATGCCCTGGGACCAGGGGAAGGGGAGGAGCTGGAGGGCCAGGCCATCAGGGTGAGGAGTGACCCTGCGCAGGGGACAAGGAGAAGGGGTTTTGAGCCACATCCCGCATCTGCTGAGCTGCAGCTCTCACCTCCAAGTCCCCTGCTCTTCCAGCTTCTCCTTCCCGCTCTGGCTTGGATTGCTGGGTGTTGCAGCGTTTCCTGCCAGCTCCCTGGGGAGGCAGCGGAGCCCCTCTGCCTGCCAGCTGACTGCAGCCGTTCATGGGGGAGAGTGCTGCACCGCCTCGTCTGGATCCCCTCTTTTGCAGAGGTGCTCACAGCCTGCTGCGGCGGCAGCACCCGAGGGCGTCTTGCAGGGCATGCAGCACACGATCCACGTTGCCACTGGTAGAGTTGCAGGGTCCACGTTGCCACTGGTAGAGTTGCAGCCCATGAGGCCAATTCGCAGGACCTGGGAGGAGAAGGGCGAGTGTCTCCCTGCACTGCCCACCTTTGCGGCCACGCTCTGGCACCATCTCCCTGCCAGCAGAGCGGACGGCGGCAGAGTGCAGGTTCCCACGTGGAGCAGGGGGCACGCGAGGAGCAGCCATGCGCACGGCCGGGTGTGAGTGCATGTGCACAATTCCCTGCTTGCTCCTATATAACACGCGTTTCCTCTAAAGACGTGTCACCCTGCTAATTATGTGCACAGTTATTCAATTATGCGCAGCAATTGTGTGTGGTTAGGAGCTGCTATGCATTGCTGCAGGCGATGGGATGCATCCAGCCATGTGTTTGCTGTTGCAGCCAGAGAGCACCAGTTAATCATGGGGCGCGCTACTGATGGATGCGGCCGCAGCCGGGTTCAGTGCCCGGCCATGGGCAGCAGGAGGGGAGGACGCTGCCCACCTTGCCCACCGAGGGGCCCAGGCCCCCGGCGATCTCGATGGAGTGGTTGTCCATGAGAAAGGCAGTGATCTCCTTCCAGTCATAGCCCTCAGGTATCCTGACAGTGGTAATGGTGGGAAGTCTCGCCTTCTGGGGAAGAAAGACACCAGGCTAAATCTGCAGCTCCTGGCTGCGGCCCTGTCCCCTGGTGAGCCCGGCAGCCTGCCAGGAGAGAGCATTGCTGCGGGGGCAATTTTTTCTCCAGCATCCAAAGCTGCCCAGGCACGTCTCCAGCTGCACAGGGCCATGTCCTCACACTGCCCCTGCACCATGGTGGTGGGCTCGCCCCGCACCCACCTCCTCCTTCACGAAGAGCTCAAGCCCCAGGTCGCGCAGCCCCTGGCACAGCTGGGTGCAGTTGGCCCGGTGGCGCTCCCAAGAGCTCTCCAGACCCTGTGGGCAGAAAGGAGGGAGAAGGTCCTGGCACCTGCCGCTCCCCCACACCCCACCAGCACTGCTGGTACCCCACTGCTTGCCCAGAGCCACTCACCCGC